GGGAGAGGGAGAAGCAAGCTCCCCGCAGAGCAGGGAGCCCGATGTGGGGCTCGATCCCAGGACCCCGGGACCCTGGGACCATGACCTGAGCCGAAGGCAGACAGCCAACGACTGAGCCGCCCAGGCGCCCCAACACTTAAAATTTTTAAGACCATTCTGATTTTTTGTAGACATATACAGTTGGCTGAGATCATTTTCTAATTCTCGCCACAGAATTGTATAGTGTTAGAGGTTAAAATTCAGTTTGTAAGTTATGTTTTCCCAACAGCGGAGAATTTGGTACTATTATTATCCTAATTTTTAAAATTGAAGAGGACTGAACTTGAAATTCCAAAATAGACAATTAAGGATTTGAACTTCAAGACCAATCGCTTCTCGGCCTTTTGGCTAAGATCAAGTGTGAACTTCAAGACCATTCACTTTATCACAGGTGTTCTTTTTTTTTTTTTTTAAAGATTTTATTTATTTATTTGACAGAGAGAGACACAGGGAGAGAAGGAACACAAGCAGGGGGAGTGGGAGAGGGAGAAGCAGGCTTCCCGCGGAGCAGGGAGCCTGATGCGGGGCTCGATACCAGGACGCGGGGCTCGATCCCAGGACACGGGGCTCGATCCCAGGACACGGGGCTCGATCCCAGGACGCTGGGATCATGACCTGAGCCGAAGGCAGACGCTTAACGACTGAGCCACCCAGGCGCCCCTATCACGTGTTCTTAACTCATTAGTTGTATTGTTCTCTTGGCCTTAGAAAAGAAACAAACCAACAACTGGATTATGAAACTAGGTGAGAGAGGAGCAGAGTTCAGCAGACTTCACTGGGTTGAGGTTGAACTTGCTCCATTCAGCAATGGAGCATGGGGGTGGGGTATGCCCTTGAAATCATCTGGGCATTCATCTTAAACTCGGTTGCAATACCCTTCAGAGGTATGCTCGCTAAGTCTGATGGAGCACAGTTAAAGTGGTGTTTTGCTGAAACTAAGGAGTAGCTTTAATTTTTTTTAAATTTTTAAAAAGATTTATTTATTTTGACAGAGAGGGAACACAAGCAGGGGGAGTGGGAGAGGGAGAAGCAGGCCTCCAGCTGAGCAGGGAGCCCGATGAGGGGCTTGATCCCAGGACCCCAGGACCATGACCTGAGCCGAAGGCAGACGCCCAACGACTGAGCCACCCAGGCACCCCTAAGGAGTAGCTTTTGATGTTTGTAAATGCAAGATGTTATGTGGACCAGGGTGGTTAATAAGCAAATTTTAAAAGTTGATTTGTTTTTATCCAGACAAAACATTTTGACTTACAGTACACATTAAAACTAAAATTACTATAGGATCAGTGACAAATTCTAATCTGAAAATTACTTGGTCTCTACAATTTTGACACACCATAATCCCCCTGACCCACACTTTAGAATTGCTCAGAGAGCTCCCCAAACACATTGCCCATTCAGATTGCTTCCCCCACACATATGTCGTTATCTGCCCAACCCACCCCTTTGCCTGTAGATTCCAATATATCCTTCAAAGCCCAGTTTATTATCCATCTTGACTTCAATTATTCATTTAATACTGAGGAGCTGCTACCTGCTGGGCCAAACAGACTTGGTTACTGCCACCATGGAGCCAGCCTAATGGAGGGCTGTCAATAATCACCAAACACTATCAACAAAATGCTATGGTGCTATGTGGGATTCCAACAAGAGGAATGAACGTAGATTGGGGGTCAGGAGAGGCATCGTTTGAGGCAATATTATCTAAGGTCTGAAGGATGTGTAACAGCTGGACAAAAGGGGGACCGAGCATTAGAGAGAGCTTAATAGGTAAAAAGCACTGAGCAGGAAGGAAAGCAGCAGTTGAGGAACTGAAATGAGCCCCAGTGGCTAGAGTGTGAAGAGTGGTAGGAGATGAGACAGGAAAGCTTTAAGGATTATCGTTACCCCTGTGGCTATGACCTTCCCCTGGCCTTCCTGAGGTGCCCCCAACCTAGGCCAAGAACCTCCTTTGTGCATCCTCCCTGGGTTATTCTAAACTGTTTCTGGCTGCTTTCATTATTCAATTTCTTGAAGGCAGAGATTATATTTTAATTCAATTTTTGACCCTCAATATATCCCAATTAATCAAGCGTTCTGTTGATCCAAACCAAAGCTCTGATAGTCAGAAGACTATCTTTGTTCCTTGTCTTTGCTGCTAAATTTCAGTGTAACTTGGGCCAAGCCTCTGTATTCCTAAGGACTCAAAACCTGCTTCAAATCTATGGTGTCAAAGACCACTTGACTAAAGTCTCAAATTACGATTATTTAGGATAACCTGTTGATCACCTCTAGCAGGGAAAAAGTAAATAGTTGTGTTAGGGTAAAGGATACGTCTGAATTTGCCCATATTCTGTGTATTTACTTGAAAATAATAAAAAAAGGGAACATATACTCAATGTATTTATGTCCACTTTGTGAAACGAATCACCAAGTTCCGTTCTCTGAACTCATCAGTTTGAACACATTTGTCTCATCCCTGTGACCGTGGTTGGAAGTCATTTCTTCAGTTCAAATTAAAGTTGAACAGGAAGAGGGGAGCCTCGGTGGCTCGGTCACTGGGTGTCTGCCTTCGGCTCAGGTCATGATCCCAGGGTGCTGGGATTGAACCCCACGTCAGGCTCCCTGCCCAGCGGGAGGCCTGCTTCTCCCTCTCCCACACCCCCTGCTTGTGTTCCTATTCTCGCTCTGTCAAATAAATAAATAAAATCTTAAAAAAAAAAAGTTGAACAGGAAGAAAAAAATAGTAAGTTTCTAAAAACAACCTTGATTTATCTATAACGAAAGGCATCAATGGTTTAGAATTCCTTCCAGCAATAATAAGAGAAGAAGGTGCTTGATGAATCCCAATACGTCTATTCTGAATCACAAATTCCTGGGTGACTAAAATAAATTCCTAGAGTCAAACTTAAATTGGGACTGTGACCAAGTACCAGAAAAGAAACACCTGCTTTATTAATACAACAGCAACAGAAAGGGATTCCAAGTTCTTAGAAGAAAAATAACATGAACAGGTACCACCTGCTAAGTGTTACAAGATCCAATGCCCACGCTGACTGTTCGGAGAGCCCCCCACCACACTGCAGATGTCTCATCAAGGACAGCTGCCAAAAACAGGTTTCTCACTGCGGTAGCTTCACAGTCAATTCCTCAAACAGAAGACTGAGATGATATTATTCCTGTTTCAGAAGCTCTTGGTGTAGAGAGAACATAGCAATTTGGAAAACATGCTTGTTTCTTGAATTCAAGAAAAATCATGAACCAGGCTATCTATTTTTCTCTGCTATGGTGTGCCAGAGTGTTCTGTGAAAGATTTCTTTTCCGGGTAAGAGGAGAGGCAACGTGGAGAGGGGCCCGTGTACTAACAGGCACTCAGGCGGTGCCCTGTGCCTACTCCCTCTGTGCTGGTGGTGGTAGGCGTCTTTTCTGGCAGCTGCTGCACTGGGTGGGAGGAAGAGGCCACCCACCAATCACCTCTTCTTGAAGCCGTATTTTTTGCGTTCATAGAAGAGATCTGTCTTAGAGCTCCCCAAATTGACAATCTTTGGGCAACCATCTCTCTGGAAAACAGGATAGAGAAGTTGTTAGAAGTCTTTGAGCCTGACTTGAGAGGGATTGAAGATAAAAATAAGTTATGGATCAGTGGGTTTAGCCATTTACCTTATCCGTTCAGTTATCCTATTCAGTCAATCATCAAGAATTTATTGAGCATCTAGAATGTGCCCAGGGCTTGTCCACTCTCTAGACAGGGTGGCCTGCACTTAGAATGTTGGATTCTCGGCCCACTTCTGTTGCAAATATGATATAGCTGAGGTAGAATTTAACTCTTAAGATATCCAAAGGGTTTTCTTCAAGTGAGAGGTAAAAAATCTGTAATGATCATCTATAGATCAAGCTCTTTAGCTCTCCTCCACCATCTCAAGAAAGGGAAGAATACCACCAAGGCAAAAAAACCCTACAGGCTTTAGGAGATAGTACTTTACATGTTAAATACCATAGGAGAAAACTGGGCTTGATGTGTCCTTATTAATTCACTTAATTTGACACATGGTCTTGGGGGAAGAGTGTTCCTGTGTTAGAGATGGCTGCTGAAGGTCCGTACTGATTTGTAATGACACGTTCCCCTGGCCATTTTGTGAGCTTGAGCGGTTTCAGTGAAGCCCCTGGGAAGCTGTGTTCTGCAGAAATAATGACTACCTCAGTTGATCTGGGATGATGGGAGGAAAATTGGGGAAGATGCTACTAGAGAAAACCTTCACAGGTCTGGTTTTATTAAACACTGCTATCAAAGGAGGTTGCTCCCTGGGACACTGGGCTTTAGAATGAATTAATGATCAAGTCCTTAGACATCTCATTTCTAATTCAGGTGATTTCTCTTTTGGGGGGCCAATATCGACACCGTACAAAAATCCCTAAAAACACACAAAGCTAACGCTAACATTTCATTATTTTCTAAAAAACATGTAGTATATATTACCTTGAGAACTGCTATCTGTGGAGTTCAGTGTGCTGAGGGAGCCAGGGAGTGGGCCCAGCCCCACCAACAGCTCCCGATGTGAACTCAGGCCGTGTAAGCTCTATTTAAAGTCCTGGGGCAAATGAGGCAGCACCTGCCTCTTATGGTGAAGGTGGCCTGATACCAAACACGACCATGCTCTAAGCTCTTTATCTTTAGAGATGCTATGAAATGTTGTGCTATGACAGCCTGTTTAGGCTTATTATGCCTTACTGACTTGCACGACTGTGGGCAAATCACTTCTCTTTGGACTCATATTCCCTAACTGTAAAATAAGTGGACCAGATCAGGTCCATGTGTACAAACTGTAGAGAGCCCTGCAGAGTTCTCTGAGGTGCCAGGTGATACCAAGGACCCATCCTTCAAACTGGGCAGCTCCGTACTCACAGCTTAGGTTAAGATGGTAGATTGTGGTGTCAGGCCACCTGACTTTTGATGTTATTAATCTCTTTGTATCTCTTTTTAGTCACGTATAAAATTACCACAATGGTAGAACCTATCTACAGAATTACAAATCAATAAATACTTAAATAAATGGATTTCCTGATTTTATTTGACAGAGAGAGAGTGCACAAGCAGGGAGAACAGGAAAGGGAGAAGCAAGCTCCCAGCTGAGCAAAGAGCCCAATGTGAGACTCGATCCCAGAACCCTGGGATCATGACCTGAGCTGAAGGCAGACACTTAACCGACTGAGCCAGCCAGGTGCCCCTGTAAAACACTTTCTGAAGATAGGACTCTACATATTAAAAAACAGTTGGGGGGCGCCTGGGTGGCTCAGTCGTTAAATGTTTGCCTTTGGCTCAGGTCATGATCCTGGGATCCTGGGATTGAGCCCCACACTGGGCTCGCTGCTCAGCGGGAAGCCTGCTTCTCCCTCTCCCACTCCCCCTGCTTGTGTTCCTGCACTTGCTCTCTGTCAAATAAATAAAATATTAAAAAAACAGTTGGAAAACCAATGTATCGGATTATGAGATCTTTGGTTTTTATGGCATTGTCTCTCACAGACTGTTTCCTGTTTTCTTGCCTAAACACTCCTGCGTTTTATTTTCTACACATCTCCCAAGGGTCTAATTGTTGTTCCCAAATTCTACCAATGCTGTATGAGATGAGGATGTGCTCTCCGGAACAGGCTAGCTTTTGTTGAATATGCCTGTGAATGGGATCCTGAGGCGGGGCTCCATCCCAGGACCCTGGGATCATGACCTGAGCCCAAGGCAGATGCCTAACTTACTGAGCCACCCAGGTGCCCCAGTAATTGTGTTTTTCTGATCTCAAAAATTTTTTCATTGCTTTTTCCTGCATTTCAGTTTTGTATAGATTTCCATTTGCTACGTTATGTTTTGGTAATGGTAAGTGTTGGATTTAAAATATTAGTTGGGGCACGTGGGTGGCTCAGTCGGTTAAGCTTCAACTCATTTTGACTCAAGTCATGATCTCAGAGTCTTGGGATTGAGCCCCGGACTACATTGGGCTCTGGGCTCAGTGGGGCGTCTGCTCCTCTCCCTCTCCTGCTTGCTCCAGCAAGTGCCCCGCCTAAGGATCTCTGCTCAGTGGGGAGTCTGCTACTCCCTCTCCTCTGCCCCTCCTCCCTGCTTGTGCTCTCTCTCAAATAAATAAATCTTAAAAAAAAAGAAAAATACAATTACTGAAAGTGGGCCTACATCTTTCTTACAAATGATAGCAAAGAATTATGAAATGGGTGCTAGTGGCAAGGCCTGCTTTATTAATTGAAATTAAATGTGTTGTTCCTTTTTTTTCTTTAAGTAATCTCTATACCCAACATGGGGCTCAAATTTACAACCCCGAGATCAAGAGTCTCATGCTGTACTGACTGAGCCAGCCAGGTGCCTGTTTTTTGTTTTTAATTAAAAATAAATAAATAAATAAATAAACAAACAAACCTTTATTTGCAGACTCCCCAGTGAGGGTGGAGCCTGACATGGGGCTCAATCCCAGGACACTGAGATCATGACCTAAGCTGAAATCAAGAGTCAGCCACTTAACTGACTGAGCCAGCCAGGTGCCCGTGTTTTGTTTTTTTAAAGTAAACTACTGACCAACATGGAGCTCAAACTCAGACCCTGAGATCAAGAGTCACATGCTTTACCAACTGAGCCAGCCAGGCACCCCAAATGTTGTTCATACTTTTTTTTTTTTTAAGATTTTATTTATTTGAGAGACAGACACACAGAGAGAGAGGGAACACAAGCAGGCTTCCCGCCGAGCAGGGAGCCCGATGTGGGGCTCAATCCCAGGACCTTGGGATCATGAACTGAGCTGAAGGCAGACGCTTAACGACTGAGCCACCCAGGCACCCCAATGTTGTTCATTCTTTTGACAACTGTTTAGTGAGTAACGATAATGTGAAAACCAGACTGTACATTGATTGGGACCTTAACAATAGTATCATGTTTTCCATCTGAAAGGCCTTTAAGCTCTCAATAATGGTATCCATGAAATAACAGGGATACTACTTCCTTTTTGGGGAGAATTCCCTAAAGCTACCCACATGTTCGCAGCAAAGACTTGAACATGGGCTTTCTGCCTTCTAGTCTGGTGTTTTTACTACCCAGGCTTCTCAGAGGCAAAAACCAAAACTTTCCCATGGTTTAAGAAATTGTAAAGGAGGTAAACTTATGAATTAATTTTGAAAACTACCAAATATCTTTTTTTTCAGCCTAACAGCTCTGCTGTACACTAAACAGGGAAAAGAGAATGATATAAATAGTGAGAGGGAGGGCGCCTGGGTGGCTTAGTCATCACGCGTCTGCCTTCAGCTCAGGTCATGGTCCCAGGATCCTGGGATCGAGCCCCGCATCGGGCTCCCTGCTCAGCGGGAGGCCTGCTTCTCCCTCTCCCACTCCACCTGCTTGTGTTCCCTCTCTCACTGTGTCGCTCTCTGTCAAAGAAATAAAATCTTAAAAAAAAACAAAAAACAAAAAAACAGCGAGAGGGAGAGGCACATCCTTAACCACCCTGAGAATAGCAATATAGTGAGGTGGTTTGAGGCAGTGCTTTGACTGTGACCACCCATTCTTTTTTTTTTTAAGATTTTATTTATTTATTTGACAGAGAGCGACAAAACGAGAGAAGGAACACAAGCAGGGGGAGTGGAAGAGGGAGAAGCAGGCTCCCCTCCGAGCAGGGAACCCGATGCAGGGCTCAATCCCAGGGCCCTGGGATCAAGACCTGAGACGAAGGCAGGCGCCTAAGGACTGAGCCACCCAAGCGCCCTAACCGCCCATTCTTAAAAGTGATGAAACCATCTTCAATATTACCATGGTTTGTATTTATCATCACCCAATAAAATATTATTCCTTAGAACTTAATTTTTCTCGTTAGAGAGAAAATATAATTTGAATTTTAACTTTCTCTTTAGGGGGCAATAATGAAATGAAAAACATGAGAAACAGGGAGTCAGAAAACTTGGGTTCTAGTCCTGGATCTGCCACTGATTAGCCATGTGACCTTGGGCCAAGTTGCTTAACATCTGGAAGCCTTAGTTTTCTCGTTTGTACCACAAAGAACTTTTGGAAAAGAACGTTCAGCACAGTTTGGGGCACACAGCAAGAGCTCTATAAATGTTAGTGGCTATTCCCCTTGTCTTCTGGTTGGGAGAGCTGAAGAAAATATAAATAAAAGAAATAAAGAAATTGAGGGATAAGGGGATATCAGATCAGTATGACGCTGCACTGTAAGAAATTACGAATGAGTCCTCTGGCAGCAGCGCCCACAGATATGACTCCTGAGTATTCTTTTTTTTTTTTTAAGATTTTATTTATTTATTTGACAGAGAGAGACAGCGAGAGAGGGAACACAAGCAGGGGGAGTGGGAGAGGGAGAAGCAGGCTCCTGGCTGAGCAGGGAGCCCGATGCGGGACTCGATCCCAGGACCCTGGGATCATGACCTGAGCCGAAGGCAGACGCCCAACCGACTGAGCCACCCAGGCGCCCGACTCCTGAGTATTCTTGATGCTGAAAAACTAAGTGCGGAACCCGTTTAATTCACTGGTCTAATTCCCTTATAAATTATGAAAATGGAA